TAATTCCCTAAAACATTTCTTTAGTTTTGTTTTGAAAATAGTCTATAAGCTCTTTGGAGCAGGGATTATGTCTTCATATATGTTTGCACAGCACTAACCAGATTGATGGTGCTTCTGAAATATAATATTTTATATCATTTTTCAAGAATATTTAAGATGAACTGTGCTGCAACACACCTCATTAAACGTATTTGCTGCTTATTAAATTCATATATATTTCATAACATTTACAAGAACTAAACAGTCAAGTTGCAGATGATCAGTTTTAATGAATCCAATTTGTAACTTTAAGGGCTTAGCCATGTAAAGCATGGACACACGTGCATGTTACAACACAAGATCTACCTGTCACTCTATTGGCTTGATTATTTTTGTTGGGTTTTTAATGATAGGATCTCTTTGAACACAATTATTATCAGAATTCCCCTTTTACCTTCCCTGGGCCACATATTTCTGTCATTTACACAGTATAACAACAGAGAGCAGAATGTAGCCCATTATCTCTTTGTGCCTAGAGGAGGGAGCATCCATCATGTTATCATTACACACATCTGTATTGTTAATTCTTAGAAAGTTGTTACAGGGTCTGTTGAGCCTGTAGCCAACAAATGATGTTACTCACTTGACTGGGTTTGTGAAAACAAAGACTTATTTGCTAGCAAAATTAATGAGACAAGAATGTCTTCAATGAGACAGTAATTTATGGCTTCCACAGCAGCTACCATTTAGAGAGGAACACATCTGATTGTACATTTCTGTGACAAGTAGAGAAGGGAAAAATGTGGTGGATTTGTTTTTGAAAACCTCACTTGGTTGATTCAAAATCAGATTTTGGATATGGAATCTATTTTATGCAATTCCTCCAAGTTTGTGTAAGGGTTAAAAAAATTGACCCAGTTTTCTCTCCCCTCCCCCCATACTATTATGTTTAAAGACAGTGAAATAAAATTAAACCCAGTGTATATATGTCATTTGATGGCACATTTTAGATCATACCAAGAATGCTGGATTCTGAATGTATTTTTACTTTGTTATACATGATAAATTGTCAGTCATTTTCAAATATGTCTAGAAATCTATATATTTAGAAATATTTCTGGATACTTTATACAATAGTAAGAGTGACAAATACAAATATATATTTTTTGCTGAAGCTCAATTCCCAATGTGCTCACAAACACTGATTCTTTTCGCTTCAGATGCAGAAAACTGCAAATAGAAAAGCTAGAAAATGCATCAGAAAATAAAGCCTGTATAATGGCTACCAAACTTGCAGAGTGTCAGTTCTAGTTTTTTGTACAGATAGGTTTTAGACTCTATAATAATCATGCAGCTAAGATACAAGGTCTCTTGTTGGCAATAACCTACATGACATGACTTAGAAGGCAGGTGTTACTGTAATTAGCTATTGTTTGACTATCAAAAGTCAGAGCTGATTAAAGCCACTAAGTACAAGTGCACTATTTTATTTCAAAGAATATTATGAACTGCATGCTGGGACTCTTTCACTGCGGACCTACCTTCTGGAGTCTGCTAAGAGCCCATGCCAGCAGTAATCAAAACTAAAATCTGCATAAACCTTCAGGGTTTTAATTCAAGCAGAGCCCTTTCATTAGAAATATGTTACTTTATGAAATCTGGTCGCCAGCAAGGGGAGAAAAATGTGACTTCTTAAGAAAAGTGAATGGCATCTCTTTAGTGATTAACCCAAGATTAATGGAGGCTCCTACTGCTAGGCCTAAGTCCATTTTATTGCTAATTCATTTAGGTACTATTTCAGATGTACTTGATGAAAGTCACCTGCTAAGAAGTCATGTTTTGGCAAGCAAGAATAGCCATTATGGTCAAATCCCAAATAGAATTTTTATTAAAGAAGCTTTGAAAAGTGTCTTGTATTAGTCAGTCTTTTAGGGACATATTATTTAATGTACTCAATTAGTTAAAAATTTGGGGCCTAAGTCACTAATCAAAGAATCAGAGTTATTACGTGTGCTTTTTCTCTACATAGATCTTTAATGTTCAAGTTAGGGTGAGTATTGTCTTGAATGTGTGACACACATACACAGACAAAAGAAGCAATACTAAGACTTGTCAAGAAGTCTGTGGGATTCGGGACACGTGCTCCGTCGGATGCAAGAAATATGGGACTGGCGGAGCACCTCTTTATTCCCCATGGTATTGTGAACAGTGGGAATTAATGCAAATCATTTCTCAATGAACTGTACATAGCCACCCCCTTTGGGTATTGTGTGTGTGTGTGCGCGCACACACACGCATGCGTCCGTGCAAGAGAGAGAGAGAGACAGATGTGGAGGTTGATATGCTCTGGCACAAACTGGTTGAGTCCGTTCATATCGATAGTTACATTTTAGGCTTTTCTTGCTTTGTATATTGTGTTTTTGGGGGAAAATACCCCAAACAAATAGGGCTACAGAGTTAGCAGTTGGTGAGCTCCTCGTGCACTGCTTTGTCACAGTCTGTTGGGCTTCAGGCACCATACTCACAGTCAGCAAAACCAAGTCCAAATCCTATCCCTGATCTTTCATGGGCTAACTGGTCTTTAGGCATGCCTCAGGCGTGATGGAGAGGTAGCTCTACATAGGTTGTGCACATTCTGATGGCTAGCTCCAGACGTGCACTCTTCAGGCACTTCCTGACTCCGACCTTCTAAGGCGAGGCACAGGGCTCCCACTCAAAGAGGCAATATATGGAATATGACTAATGACTGAGGAGAGGAAGGCCAGATGAAAAAGATGCTCTCTCATGACGGCTCTGGTAACCACAAACTATTCTCTCCCCTAACAGTTCCCTCCCCTCCTCTTAAAATAATGTACAATGTCAGAACAAAAGTCCAAGACAAAAATTTAGACATGAAAAAGATGGATTTTCCCTTCACCTTGTCTCCTCACACCCCATAACGTTCAATGGAGAACTTAAGAAGTCCGCCAGTAGTAACTCAAAGTTCCTAAAAGCCACACAAGATAACCTTATTTTATAAATCCTCTCCATGCCTTCATATATATCCCATCATTTCTGGTGCGAGTTGCACGTTCACATAGAGAGGATGGCTGTGCTAAACATGGGAAGGCCCCCACAGCTAGCTAACAATGTTTGTAGTGCCTCTCTCTCCCTGTGGGACGTCAAATTTAAGGTGATAGTGGCTGAGGCTTCAGAGAAGCCATATCATTGGCCTGCTGCGGATCAATCTATGGGCATCTTGGCCATGTTCTCTCCCAGCCAACATCATGAAATTTTGCAAGTTAGCCCTCTTCCCACCATGCTGGAGTGGGGATTATGGGTATTTTGTGCTGCTATAATCCCTGTTCACCAAGGATGGACTTTCCACCACTGAGGTCCCCTGGTCAGGGCTATTCTTGGGAGGGGCCAATGGTCTTTTATTGGGTTCATACTTACTGTGCTAATTTTCCTACCACCAGCACCTCCCATACTGTATTGCACCAGAAGGTCATGCTCTGTTCTTTTCCAGTGTCTTGCTCTTAGACATCTGATTGCCACTAACAACTGCAAAATTAATATACTATGGCATTTGAAAAGAGTCCCTTCTACTAGGAGCCCCGGGAGCATCATCAGGGAGTCTTGTGTTAGCCTGGATCTGATGAGACACTTTATCTGACTATATGCAAATATAAAATTGCACATGCACGAACAAGTGCATGAGAAAATTGCAAATACAATTTAGGAGGCTCTTGTGAAAATCTGTCCTATTATTTTCAGAAAATAGAAGTCTGGGGAAAGAGGAAAAAGTATGTGTGGCATCTTTAACCAACCTGAAGGTTTCTTAAGAGTTTGAAAGGTTAAAAGATGACAGACGATTTGGTCTTTGTCCCTAGAAAAAAGTGTGTGTTTAAATATGAATATTTGGATTCTAATTCTACAGATTCCATTTTGATCAGTACTGTTATCTGCGTAATTGATCGAATAAAAAAATTAAAATGGATTAGTGGAGCTAATAAGAGCAACAAAAACAAAAAGAGAAACTCTGCAGGAAGCCATAAGACAGCTTTGATTGTATGTTTAGTTTCTCAGGATGTGTTAAAAACTAAACCCTGAATGATTCTGCCACAAGGCACATTTCTGATACTCCTGGGCAAGCCGAACCTTTTATCGACGGTGGCAAGAAAAGTCCTGGTGCTTTTACTAGTAACGATTAATGTGGTTTGAAAAGGCAACAAAGGTTCAGTGCCAAAGAATTATTTCGGTTGGAGACAATACAAAAAAAACAGCAATGTGGGCTTTTGAAATAAATTTCTGAAGGGGAAGAGTTTCTTAAAGAGACGCCTACATGTGATAAAGTTAACCTAATCTGTTCCCTCTTGTGTGCTGGGGCACTCACACATGCAAATCTTGTCCCTCGTTCAACTGTGTTTGTTCACCTCCATAGCCCTTCGGTGATTCAAATCTGTGTCTTACTATCCTATAATACCCTTGTCTAACAGTTCTTTTTAAATGCATGTGTTAATTATCTTGCCACTGCTGTAATTTCTCCCTGTGGTCCATTAATTAAGAGGTCACAATCTAAGAGCATGTTTACCCAATAAGCTTTCTTTTTTAATTATCCTAATTGCTTGAATACTGACAAAGGCTCTGTCCCTCCCCTTTCCCTCAGTGGATTAGCAAACAACATTAAAAATCCCACACAATGATGGGTTTGTTAAATATATACATTTATACCCCCGCCATGTTGTATCATCAAGGGTCACTGGAAAAAAAAATCTTGTATTTGTATAGCTGTGTAAAAGCACAGGCAAAGGTAAATTAATGAAGCTCAATTTATCAATGCAAAAATTACATTGGTCAAGAAAAATATTAATACAACTTTTAAATCTCCAAGGCCATGAACTGAAAAAGAGGATGGTATGGTCTTAGTCTATGTTAAGGACAATCATAGTCTATTAAAGAAACCTGCATCTGTGTGTTTGCAATCTGTTTGTATCACTTTGGATGAAAGCAACCAGCAAAAACAAGCAGGGAGCTGGCTTTTATTGTACAAAAGATCTATTATTGTTTTTTTCAGAAATGCCAGTCTCCAGTAGGTCTAATGGAGTCTTGCATTTTGTTAATCTGGTCACAGTTTCACTTTCTGTTGTTTTAGCAGTACTGAGCACAACATAATCTCTAGCATCTAAAAAAATGGAAAAACATAGTTCATGGTTGTGAGTACTTTACCAAAGGAAAATGTGCTTTTTGAGTTCCAGGTACTATTTTAACACAAAAATAGGAAAGGCTATGTTCAGAAAAGCTAGTATTTTTTCCAGTGCTCTTTTCAGAGTGTAGAACAATATTTGATAAGTCAACAAACATTTTTTTTGGTTTAATAAAGCAAATGTTTCATTCAGACTAGTCATCTCTGGGAGTATATAACAGAAGTATAATTAATTAGAAATTGCTTAGGTAAGCGTGATTGATGCATGGTAAATAGATGTTTCCAGCACTTATTGTTTCTCCTTGATGGATTAGGAAGAGTTGTTTAACAGTTCATTTGACCAGTCTCTCCTGGTGTTTCTTGAGTCTGGCTGTGCCAGTCAGCACCAGCAGTTCCTTGGTAGTTTAAGTCTCTTTAATAAAGATTAAGATGTCAGAGGTCCTGCATTGCACAAAATCCCAATTTTATTAACTTTTCATTATCAGCTGAAATATGAAGTGCATTTCTTTTCCTCTAAAGCACAGCATTTTCAGGGTGATGGGGATGTATATATACAATATACATTTATGATGATTAAGAGCTGGTTTATTCAACCCAAGCTCATACCAGTGAGCACCTACTCCTGTGAGCAGTACCATTAACATCAATATTACTGCTCAAGAAAGTAAGTATTCACCAATCAAGCTGTTTCTAGAGGGAAATGTGGTAGCCTACTTACACTTTCTGTATTCCAACTAATAGTGTTTTCATCGAACAGTGGCAGTGTACACTGTCAAGGCAGATAAAATTGAATCACAACATTAAATCCACCAAGACAAAAATATCAGTGTTGTCTAGTTTCAGTCAACATCTCTCTTCACTCTGTGCAGATCCATCGAGAGCACAGACTGTAACAGTCCAATAGTTCACTGTACACTTACACTTATTAAAACGGACCGCAAAAGCATTCAAAGTCCACTCCCTGGCCAGAAACATAGATAATCAACTCTAATGCCATCCATCTGAACTTAGGCAGCTGCTGATAAAGTTAAATTGCTGAAGGTAGCAGCACAGTTCGGCACCCATATGCCATCTTTGTATAAAGAACTGCTTTTGATCTTAATATCTCTATCTATCTATATATACACACATGCGTATACACATAGTATGACTGGTGATCCATCACACAAAACCCAGATATTTAAGGTTGCTCTTTTTTCCTGTCTGATCAATTGGGCTCAAGTTTTAGGGAGCTTCTGAAAGCTGCCCATGATACATATTCAACATATTTTATTGGGAAAAATCCTTTGAGAATCACCTGGTTTTTGAAGCTGTCCATCAAAGGAAGGACACAGTTGTTACTGCCTGATACTTTCTCAGGGCAAAATGGATACAACTGTGAAGTGTGTTTTGGAAAGAAGGTATGATCTATACTCTTCCACCAAGTACAACATAAGTCCTAACAGGATGGCACAGGAAAACTGAACACAACCCTGTAATAGAGCTGGTTGAGAATTTTTCATCAAAATGTTTTTTAAATCACCAGGCTATAGAATCACACTCTCTCTCTCTCTGGCCCAACGAATAGTTAAGTATTTATAAAATGTGGGCCTGCTCCAACAGGAGAGCGCGATGGAGACCCACGCCCAGAATACCCCACAGTCAGGGGGCGAGGGTACACTCCTGGGCCATGGGAGAACTGGGTTCAGGCACAACCCAGGGGAGTGCACAAGCTACTGGGGGTGACTGACTCACTCTCTCTCTCTCTCTTTTTTTTTTTTTTTTTTTTTGCAAAAACATACAAAGGTTTTGGTTCCATCCCAATGTGAAACATGAAAAATTTCTGAAATCTCAAAAAATATTCACAGGATAGAAAAACCGTTTCCAATCCAGCGCTATCAATAATCCCTTTCCTGTTAGTGTTAAGATCTGTTATATTTAGTCCTGCATAGTACAAGGCATTCTCATGTTACTATGTAAGACTTTACATAGAGAAGTTCCTACGCAGCAAGATAAACAACATTTAATCGAATGGCCCTTGTATTATATGCAAGGCACTTCAGTTTGGGTTTTTACTGATATTTCCCCCAAATTTCCCAGGTTTTTAAAAAGCCATAATTTGGGTTTTACTAGTTTTCACCCACAGTTTTCAAAATGCTGAAACTCCCCAGACCCAGCTCCCCACTTTGGGAGGAGAAATGGCTGCTCGTTCCCCCCTCACAGAGTCCCCACTGGACAGCAGCGTGCACCTGCGCACAAGAGGGTAACTTCCACTGGGTAAGTTGGGCAGGGAGCAGGGTCCTGGCAGCTGAGACTGTCAGACTGCTATGGTGACAGGCTGAAGCCTTCTCAACTGCTACATCATGAATAGCAGGCATCCTCACCCACGCACCCGCTGCACCCCTAATCCCTGGCTCTTTGGTGTGTTTTCTTAACCAGTTTTCACTTTTTAAAAAAAAGGAATTTGGAATAAGCACTGATAAATTCTCAGTAAATTTTAAACTAAATAAAAAAAAAAACTATAATGAAGGTCCTTAATTACCTGGCTGTCTCTATACCACTTTAAGTATATGTCGACTTATATAAATACAGATGTTAGACTAAATTCAGCAGTTTACTCCTATCACTCTATTCAAACCCTCCTTGATTTTGACTCTGATTATCCTACATCCTGCAAAAATATCCCTAGTGCTACATCGTGACCTGGTTCATGTTAGAGGCTTTGACCATCAATAACAAGCAGTGGTTGTGTAGAATTAGTTATAAATTGACTCATTGAGTGGCTTCTACCATCACATATAGATTTAGACCACTTTTCCTTTTCACCAGAGGGTGTATTCATCTTGTCCTTTGAATACATGGGCATTGCAAAGAGGAGGAGACTGTAGCATCAGCTGAGCAAATAGCTGGCTGCTGTTTGTATCTCCAGACCTAAGTAAGTTAAAGTCTACAACTTGTAGGCAACCAGCTTTGAGGAAAATGCTGATTCTTCTCCTCTGTTTACTCCTTTGATAAAGCAGGTCAATGTATCAGAAACTTCAGCCCATCAGTATTTAGGAAGGAGGAATACATATGCCATAGCTTGTCTGTTTCAAAAGTATGTATGTACAAAAGGCATGATAAGTGGGTGCTGAATGGTTGGGAGTGGCAATTATCAGTTATACATATCACTATAGTCTCTCAGCTTTTCAATAGCACATAGTTCCTAATACCATGTTTACTAGATCGGGTAAAAAGGGACTCTTAATACTGTGCAAATATGACTTACCAAAGGACTTTGCTTTCTCACCTATTCTTGGGCTTTTCAAATCAACATTATTAATTGGCTGGCTTATCGGTAAGTGCTGTCTGGCAGTTAAAAGATGTTTCCACCCATTGCAATGATACATAGAAACTGAGTAATGTCAGCCACAAGGACAAATAACTTCAATGGTTGAAGCAGAGAAATATTTTGACATACTAAATCTTCTTTTTAAAAAAAATCATACCATTCCAAGATTAATTTGCTATCCTTTAAGATATCAGTTATTTCAGATTAACTTGTCATTGTCTGTTTTATATACATTACAGATTAATTCAGAGGACTGTTTTATAGATATCTTTTAAGGATATTTTTACATCTTTGTTTCCCGCATCCTCTCTCATTTTCTGTTGGGCAGGTGTGTGGGATGGGAGGGGGAGGAAAGGGGTTTGAAGCTTGCACTGTTGCTGTCCACGCTGTACCTGTTCTGGAGATAACTGACACAGCCCTGCAAACTGAATCCCTCTGAATTTGCCACCTTCCATGAGCACTAAATCTACTTTAAAATGGAAAGAGTCAATTGACTGACATGATAAGGAATATTGAAAATCAGAGAACATGAAGCACAGGATTTATATGAAGCACAGAATGTACCTACGTTCATTATAGAAATAACAATAATAAAACAGACTAATGCCCTGCCTTTTTTCCTCTCACACCTGCTCTACCATGCCTCAACCCTGACCCGAAGAGCCCACTTATAGAGCGAGAAGGTTCAGACTCCATGGCCCATTTGCTTGTTGGTTTCTTTGATGCTGTTTCTAAAGAAAGAGGTATAATTTGTGCCTCTATGATGATAATTTTTTGTGAAGGCAACTGACCACTAGGAACTGGTCTGAGATCATCAACTCTTTTCATACAGGCTACCTAACCAACATAAGAACATAAGAATGGCCATACTGGGTCAGACCAAAGGTCCATCTAGCCCGTATCCTGTCTCCCGAGAGTGGTCAATGCCAGGTGCCCCAAAGGAATGAACAGAACAGGGAATCATCAAGTGATCCATTCCCCGTGGCCCATTCCCAGCTTCTGGCAACCAGAGGCTAGGGACACCATCCTTGCCCATCCTGGCTAATAGCCATTGATGGACCCATCCATGAATTTGTGTAGTTCTTTTTTGAACCCTGTTATAGTCTTGGACTTCACAACATCCTCTGGCAAAGAGTTCCACAGGTTGACCCATTAGATAGCGAGGACTTCAATGATAATAAACTATTATAGAAAAATTATGAAGAGTTTACCAAGCTTACGTAACACAGTATATGAATTTGGGATTCGGTTATTTAGCTACAAAAGGCCTTTTACTGCTTTCATGGAAATTTTCCAATAGAAGCAGGATCAGGCCCAATTATTTTATTTTAAATATTTGATATTTCCAGTTTCTCTTAAACAGGAGTTACTTGCCATTGCCATCTCAATGGTGCTGAAATTATCATTCATGAATCATGATGCTTTTAGAAGAAGTGCTTACTTCATAAAGGTGGACATTTAAAGAAAAGAAAACAAATATTTGATGTTCTGTGTTAGCATGAGTAGGGAGAGCATTGTGTACGGAGGGTGAATTCAGAGGAGTTATTCTGTGATGATAAAACAAGGTGGGAGAAGAAAGGTTGCTATCAAAGATAAACCAAGGCTGTTTAAACACAGAGAAGGGTATGGTCATACACAAATGGAAAAAATAGTTAGCACACAAAGGACTGATTTAATCTGGAGTCTGGCAAATTTAAGTAGTAAATGGATGATGATAACTATACAGACTGATCGAACAAGGGGAGATACATGATGATATAAACAATGTGTTAGATCTCTTTAATTATCAACATAAATATATTTTTTAAAGGCACCAATTAAAGTTTTTGCTTGCTATCAAAGTTAATTACCCAGGATTCTGAGCGCACTTTACCTGTTCACAGCCTGGAATGATGAAGGGTTTTCTATTACATCATATGGCCATTCTGCTGCCTAATAATATCTCAGTAGAAACATTTGCTTTCTAAGGCCCAATCATGTAACTGTATCTGTGCAGGACTCCAGCAGACACCTGAAGCCAGCTGCAGGATGGGGGCCAAATCCAATAGAGTGTCTAGGAGATAGAGCAGGAGACTGGGAATTAGAACTCCGGGATGTACTGCCTGGTTCTACCTCTCTTTGTGACCATGAGCAAGCCACGTCCCCAAAACAGGAACATTAACAATTATTTGTGATGAGGGATATTTTAGATACAGACAAACCTCAATATTTTCAGAGGTTCAGATAAGGATCCAATAATGCCATTCACTTGCATCAACAGGTGGGGGAAATTGATGGGGCCAGCAGTGAAAGCAAGACAATCCAAATAGCGTGGGAGGGAGGCACTTGCCAAGGGACAATAGGTAGCTCCTCCTGTGGGAGTCTCTGGCACCCATTGGCCAGCTGGGGGAGAGGGGTGCTGATTGGCCAGTATTCCCCAGCTCCCAAGATTTAGCCCAGCATAGAGACCATGTGGAGCCTCTCTTGGCTCCATTCCAACAGCCCTCCCTACCCACCTGAACTAGGAATGGGACCCCGGCCTGACAGATGCTGTGGGTCTAGCGAATCACCTGTTTTGGGGGTCAGGAAAGATTTTTTTCTTTCATGGGCCAAATTGGTAAGCCACAATAGGAATGCGCCTGGTACCTAACTGAGGTCTGGGGTGGTGTTGCTTACTTGGTGCAACTTGTGGCTGGTTTCCAGGGCAGTTAAGAGAATAAAATGAACGGTTCCCAGAGGTAAAAGACATGGGATTTTGGTGATGGGCCAAACTTTATCAATCCCCAGAGTACACTGAGGTTCTATTTGGCTGTAGTGAGGGGCAAAGGTTCTGTTTTTTTCCCTATTTTATATGCATCATTTCACTGGTCCTCCTTTTTTATTTTTATTTTATTTGGAATTTAATTTCTTATTTTATTTTCCATCTAAAAAGGAAAGACCTTCACTGATATGGAGAAATTGCAGAGTTTGTTGACACCTCTTCCTCTTCCCTTCACTGTAAATCATGCATATGCTGTTTCCCTGAAGAATGCACACTGAAACACAATGAGAAATGCTAGACCCAAAGCAAACAAGTTCTGATAGATTTAAAAATAACGAATAACTACAAGAACAACCGAAAACTAGTAATGGTTGAGAACTGTTTGGTTATACAGTTTTCCCCCCCAATCATTTGTGGATGAATTTATTATTCATTACATTTACTATCTTTTGGATTGATCCCTTTTATAAGGGGCTAACCAAAATAAAATCAAGGAGCTGTGTAAGTTTTCTCATACAATTTCTGTCAATATCACTTCTGACCTGAAGTGATCTCTGTTCTTCTTTAGCAATCCGCCATTCATGTCAAATTGTATCAATTTTTGTAGTCCTGCCTAGGTACAGAAGAACCAGTTTGGATAAAAGAAGAATAAACACTTTTCATTCTACAAAAACCACACCCAACTCTGAACCATTTTTGAGAATTGAAGAAAAAAAAAAAAAAGGGTTTTCCTTATTTTTCTCATTATTATTTATTTTCATGAGCCTCTAACACTTCAATAGGCTGTGTGGGATCGGAAGCAGAAGAGCTGAATACAAGAAAGCCTATTTTTTAGATATTTCCAGCCCAGTTAGAATAAGAGATTGCTAGAAATCTCACTTTAAAAAATGTTGTTATGCACAAGATTTTCACCTAAGCATTGCAGACCCAGAAGGTTCAGATAAGTTTTAGAGAAGCGGCTGAACTTAAGAGTATGTATCCAAACCAAACAGACTCCAAAATGTCTGACGGTTATCAATGACTTTTTCTCCAACCTCTGTATCATGTGGTATATATGAACAGAAAGGGGCCTTTAATCATCTCCAGATACACTGCTTTCATGGCCATGGATATTTGACTGGGCTCTTTTTGTGCAATGATTTTGAGTCACAAAAACACAAACATTCATATGGAGGATCCTTGAAGCCTTCACCGGCACTCAGGAATAACACAGGCATGGTTCCAGCACTATATTATAAAACATGCTTTTATGACTTATTCTGGAAAAAAAAATCTTGCTAACTGGCTAAGAAGAAATTGATCACTTACATTAAGAATATTAGCTACCAAAAAATTGTCATAATAGTTATTATTATTAGTAGAGATGGGAACAAGCAAAAGTACAGCTGAACTTCTCAGAAAACAGGTAGTGTTTTATCAGTGTAAACATTTATACACCCCTGGTCATCATATTTGAACTCCTCCCAATATTTAAGGATTTATCCTCGCAATATTCCCATGAAGAGGGCAAGTGTTATTCATATTTGAAAGATGTGTAAACTGATTCATAGGATATCTTATGCGACTTGTCCAGTGTAATACTGGAAGTCAAAATGGCAGATCCAGAAATAAAACCAAGAAGTTCTCAGTCATTCCTGACTATAACTATGAGAAAGGAAGAAAATTCGCCAAAGGTTTTAATAAAAAAAATCAGTCATGCAAGAGAATGACCAATGGAAGGCAAGCTTTAGTTCTTTTAAGCAAAGACAAATAATTGCAGAAAAACATTGTACAAAGTTATTCCACTGATTAATTTTGACATTAAATTCTCAAGGAAACAGGCCTCATACTATAACTAAAGAACCATGAAGTCGATTTTGGTGCACTAACATCTATGTTTCTGGAATTTCCACTCCAATCTGCCTATAATAGAAGTTGAGTGGAATTAATTTTCTCCTGGATCATGTTGGCTGGGTTCTGAACCAAGAAATAGTCTATTGGAAATTCAGAAACGGTGTCCAGTAACTCAGGATTTCCATTTAATTCCTCTAGGCCTGAGGAAATAGGCTATGAAACAACACTCTGGAAGTATTCTAACAGGGGATGTGAATACCTGTCTCCAAAGTAGTAATTAACAAGGAAAACTGTTCAGTAACAGGCTAACATCCCTCTATTTCAGGCCAGCATTCATTGATTTAGATGGAGTATGCTGCAATCAACTAAGTCAGTATGAGAGCAGTGTTGCCTCAAAATGAACCAGGATTTTTTAATTCCGGTAGCTGGTGGGGCACTTGTCTAAATAAAATTGAGCAGAAGCCGGAGAGCTGGTCCTGGAGCATGGGAAGCTTCCTTTCCCCACAGATATTCTCAGTATCTACTCCACCGGCTTCTGCACTAAGAATATCCACAGTAAAATCTAGAGGTACAAAAATGAACATCTCTTTCCTTTCCTTCCTCTCCCACACAAGAGCTTCTCTCAGGATTATATACTTGTACTTCACAGAAGGTATGAATTGTTTTAATATGTAGAATGAGTCATGAACATCAAATAATCAGCAGTCATGGTAGCATGCCCTCACTGACTTTCTTCTTCACTTCTTTTGGTCATTCATACTAGCCATTTTAAATTACATACAACTCCAACATGTGCACAGGGGATTTTTGTTGCTGTTTCAAGGTCCATAGGGCCAAGATTTGTTAAAAATAGGTGTTTACAGTTAGGATTCTAAGTTCACATTTAGGAACCTTAGTAAATGGTCTGAGATTTTCAAGAGTGTAGAGCACTCCTGATATCAATGGGTATTCTGTACTTCTGAACACAAAACAGAGTTTTTTGCACTATGGCAAATTAGGCCAATTAGTGTCTAAATAAATATTTAGGAGCTGGATTTTATGCTCCTATTTTTGAAAATGTTGTCCTTCCTGCATCTGTTAAGCGAAGGTCCTATAATGTGCAAATGGCTCTAAGTTTGTCAAGTCCATCCAGAATTCAAGCCTCTTCAGATAGCCCTGGTGGACAACAGCACTCTGGTGGAGAGAAAAATACTGCAACAGCGGAAAATGTACATGAAGGAGATTGATAACACTCACTCTCCCTGACTCAAGCTGCCCCAAGTCT